CTATAAACCAACCTCTTCATTTTACAGAGGAGAAAACTTAGGCACAGAAAAGTTATGTGACTTGCTTTGAGTCACACAGCTATGAAGTGTCTAAGGCAGGATTTGCACACAGATCAGTGTCCTGTCCTCTAAGTCAACTTTTAGGCTTTTTAAGCTTCATAAATCTTCAACAAGACAAATGTCTAATAAATATGTCTGTTTATAATATTACTATTTCCTGTATAGCAACTACCCAATGGAAATTCTGGGACAGGTCACATAATCACAAATAGGTTCATAATGATATATAGGTGAAACTTTGAGAATTTACAATCAACTTTTACATGTACAAGAGAAGCAGCTAGGCTTAGTGAATACAGAGCCAGACTCAGGGAAAGAACTACCTGGGTTCAAATCACTGTCCAGTCTATGTATCCCTAGATAAGTCACTTAAATTCTCAATGCTTTATGCAACTGTCCAAGACTTTAATAAGGCTCCAAAAAAGGTTCAGAGATCTAAACTGGCAAAAAAAAAAAAAAGCTTCCTCACCAGAGAATTACCTGTACCACTGAAATTACAATTCTATTTTCTATCTTTTTTTTTAAAACACATATACCTTGTTTACCTACATAATACATAGCCTAAATTGGATAGAGTGGCAGTCTCAAATGGGAAAACCCTGGCATTAGGCCCTACCCCTTAAGTGTAAGCACAGGAAAGCTGCTTAACCTCTCAGTGAACTAGGCAACTCTAAAACACTAAATTACAGATTAAGTTACAGAGTTGCCCAAGCTGACAAAATCACAGGTCTCATTCAGAAAAGAAAAAAGAATCCTCAACAATACTTTATGCGAGGATTCTTAAGCTGGGTTTTGTGAATGTGCTGTGCGTGTGTTTTTTTTTTATTTTTCAATAAATATTTAAATATAATTTGAATTCTTTGTAATCCTATGTATTTTATTATATGAATTTTAAAACTTAATTCTGAGAAGGGGTCCATAGGCTTCACCAACAGGGTCCATGACACAAAAAGTTAAGAACCCCTGCTTTAGGGAGAGAACATGATATCCTTTTGCAGATGAAGAAACTGAAACTCAGCAAATTAAATAACTTGCCTTAAGTCATATGGTTTGTCTCCACACAGTGAGTGGCAAAATCAGAATTTAAACTCAAGTTTGGGGCATGAAACCTAATGCTTTTTTGGGGGGGGGTTTGAGGCAATTAAGGTTAAGTGACTTGCCCTGGGTCACACTGCTGGTTAAGTGGGCCAAATTTGAACTCAGGTCTCTTGACTCCAAAGTCTGTGCTCTATCCACTGCATCACCTAGCTGCCCCCAATGCTCTTTATACCACCCTGCCTCTCTAATAGTTGGTTTTTGTAAAACCAGGATTAAAAGTAATTTGGTCAAAATCTGAATGCAGAATAAAGGCATTTTGTTTACTAAATTCAATTATCTATTAAAACATATATACAATACAGAAGGATGTCCTAAGCCCTAGGGTCATCCCTATTAGGCACAGAACAAAAGCTTAAAGTAAACCCAATATTCATAGGAAAATACTCTTCTGTAACAGAAAGTAATTTCTATTTTGGCAATGAAGAAAAAACTGTAGCCAGAAAGTAAGGTGTGGTATTTGTTTTTGTTGTTTTTTTTTAACTTTGACTCGATCTTTCAATTAGTCAGCAATGAACAATAATCGCTTACTACACAAAGAACAGCATACTAAGTAAGCACACCATAGTTTACAAAAAAAATTCAAAGACTGCATTCTATCCTCAAAAAGTTCACTAATTAGGGAAAAAATATACGCATGAAACTAATGCATAGTAGACAGGGTTGCAAAGCAAGTACAAATGAATACAGTGCTAACTGAATAGCTAAATTTTAGAATGTAAAACAGCGAACAGAATTCGGCAACTGGCATCAACTTTTCCTGAGGTAGTTAGGCACACTGCTATGCTAAGATCATCAAAAAGTCACCCATCCTCACTGCCACATGTGCACTTTATTAGGGCTGTGGAGTCCACTTAAGCACAGTGGGAACCCCCCCCCCCAAAAAAAGGAAAAAAAAAATAAAAAATCCTTCCTTCAGTCAACCTTTTCAAATAAACTCTGGCACCACCTCCAAAGGGAAGCCTTTCCTCATTGCCCTACTTATCAAGGCTTCCTCCCTACTCAGATTTTCTTGAACTTACTTTTCTGTGTAAATTTATCCCTTCAATACAATATAAGCTCCTTAAAAGAAGGAGCTATTCTTTATTGCTTTTGTATACCCAGAGCTATATTATAATTTATGTAGCTGTTATTTGTACTTCTCCCTTTCATATCTACCTCATAGGGTTAAAATAAGGTTCTAATCAAATGAAATAATGTAAAGCACTCTGTAAACCTTAAAGCATTATGTAAATGTCAGCTATTATTCTCTTCTATTATTATTAATGCCATTTTCTACATGTCTTATTTACTTCTCCATTCCAAGCAGTAGGACCATGCCTTATTTACTAAGCATATAACATTAATCTCTATAGTTATATCCTTATCTGGCTATAGCAAAAGTTATCAGATGCAAAATTTTCATAACCCTTTATATTAAGAGAGACACATCCTAATGCAAGATAACATTGACAGTTATGTATCCATATTTTATATCTATAATCATGGTAATCACAGTTCCAAAGCTCTGGGTCATGTTTTTAGTTTTTATTAAAATATTTGTGACTAAATTATTTTAGGGCTGGGCTAATTTCTTTTAGAGCAGAGAAGTTGTTCCTGGCATAGCAGATAAAGTTCTGGACATGAATCAGGAGATTAGAATTCAAACCCTAACATTTACTAGCTATGTGACCCTAGGCAAATCACAATCTCTCTCAGCCTCAGTTCCTCTTCATCTGTAAAAATGGGGATAACATCTGCATCACTTACCTCAAAGGGTTGTAAGGATCAGAAGAGATCACCTCAAATAGTATTTTTTAAATATAGCCTCCAATTTCTTGGGAGAAAACTTAATTTTAGAGATGTTGCCAATAAGACTATAAATATACTCTATATGATTCTAATGGGAGCTAAGATTCTGGATTCTAATCCCAGGTCTAACTTGCTAAATCAGGGATGTGGGAAAAGTCACAACCTCTCTGGGCTTCAAATTCTTCTCCTGTAAAATTGGGAGATTAGATGATTTTATCTGCTCTAAAATTCTTTGAGTATGCATCAAACTAACAAAATTCAATGAACCCAATTTATGCAATGAGCTCTATTAGCCTGGGTGGAAAGACATATAAAATGGGATTCCTACCTTGAAAAGGCTTTGTTTGAAGGAAGTAAGAAAATACCAGAGACATAAGTATATAATAGGTAAATTACTCTAACTTCAAAGCCATTCTTATTTAAATTGTGAAGCAAAGAGAAAAAAAAAAAAAGAAAAACCCAAACATTTCTTTCCTACCTACATGTGCAAGTACTGCAGGTCAATGAATTCTTTGCAAAATAGACGCATTCATTACAAGACAGCAATGCAATTGTAACAATTTTTCCAACTCTCTTTCCCTTTGATATATAGCTGTTGACAAAACTAGTCACATCAAAATATACAAACAAGAAGGGCATATGGAAAAAATGAGTTTCTATAGGGTGTTAGTCTAAATAAATTCACTGAATTACTGAATATGATAGAATTTCAAAGTAGTTAAGGAGCTTAACCAGAGAAACCTGGACTAAAAAAAGAAACCAGCAAAGTTTGGATTAAAGAAAAATTATCCTTGACAACAGAAATTCAGTGATTGATTTTTCTCTGAAAACTTTTTAAAAGATGGCATAAAGAACCAACAAGGAATATGAGAAGCAAAGGGCCCCAATGAGCTATAAACCAAAGAAAATGCTGAATTTAATGTATCCGCGCTTCGGGACACAGCTGACATATATATATACCTAGTACTATCTATAAGAACATACAGTTTTCTGTACTAAACTCAAGACTGCCCTAAATGCACACTACAGGGGATAAAAAGGATGTCAATAACAAATAATGAAATAAAATTGAGCACATAAAGAGGATATTCAGGAAGATGGAATATTTCCACAGTCATATAAATGCAACTTAAACTGGACTTTCTACAAAAGATAAGCACATTTACCCCCTTCAAAAATATTTTCGTTTGGTTTTCTAGACAGTTCAGTTTAAGACTTTTAATTACCAGCTACCTTACCACTACAGTAGAATTCTGAAGATTTCGTTTAATTACCTGCTTCTTAAGCCTGCCTTACTTAGACTTATAATCCCCTAGCTTTTTGATGGTTGTTTTCGTGGACAGTTTTTCTCGAAGGGATGAGAGGTGGGGAGTAATTGGGGGTTACTCTCACGGCCCCTCTGGACCTGGATACAGCTGACAAGACGAGAAGATGCAGACTACTGCAGCAGCTGGTCAGGGAGGACAGGGTGCGCGGACACCCACACATCTGCCTCCTCCTCCAAGTGACAATCGCACCCAGCACCTTTTACCCAATTGTGCCTCCTAGAGATGGGCTGGAGGGGGGAGGGGAGGGCATACACACGGAGAGGAAGGAAAAGACCCCGACCCTTTTTCCGCAGGGGCACAAAGGCCACGCCGTGCGGTAGGAGCCAGACTTCCTTCCCGGCCGCACACACATCGATGGAGCGGGAGAAACTAGGCTTCCTCCCCCGCCGCTCCCCACCTGGGCCGGGTTTCCCTTTAGGGGACACGCACGCACACACGGAGACGCACACACGGAGACACACACACGCATGCATGTGTACACACACACACACACACACACACACACACACAGCAGGGGGCAGCGCGGCGAGATGAGAAGCGTGACACCGCGCACACGTGCGCGCACACACACGCACACACACCCCACTGGGGCCGGAGCAGCCCTCCCCGCCAGCCGCGCGCACACACATACACACACATAGACACGCGCGCGCACACACACACAAACACACACACACCACAAGCGCGCACTCGCGTGCACTCCCGCCTCCTCTTCCTCTCACTCACCGGCATCATCTCGGGCAGGTTTCCGGGTCCTCGGCCGCGGCCGCCGCCGGACTCCGCAGTCCCCGCCGCACTGACAAGCACCGGCCCAGGCGCCGGGCTCCCGGCTCCCGGCTCCCGCCTCCCGTCTCCGCAGGCCGCGCCGCCGCCGTCGATTCCTAAACCCAACGAGCTAAAGCCCCCGGCGGGCAGAGCCCCAGCCAAAGGCGGGGGCGGGAGTGGGGGTGGGGGAGGCGGCGGTTGCGGCAGTGCGGCAGACCCCCGCCCCTCCTTCCTCCCTCCCTCCCCCCTCGCCAGGTCCTGTGGCGGGCGGCGGGAGCCCCAGACGCCGCCTCCCCTGAGATCCCGCCGCTTCTACTGCTCCTGCCGCCGCCGCCACCGCCGCTGCCACCTCCGCCGCCGCTGCCTAGGCTGCTCCTGGCGCCGCAGCCCCCACAGCCTGACCCTAGCCTTTCCGCCGCCTCGGCGAGGCTCCGCCCCCCGCGCCCTGCCGCCCCATAGGGGCAGCCACCGCCTCCTTATTGGCTGAGAGGCGGGGCCACGGCGGGACCCGCCCACCTCCTCTGCCTCCCTTTCCCTCCCGCCTTCCCTCCCTCTTCTACCTCTCACTGTCCCGGGGCAAGTGGGCTGTGCGTACCTCCACTACCCGGGAAGGATGTATCCCGTGTGAAAACAAGGTCCCCGGGGAAAAGCGGGGGAGGGGTTTCGTGTGCGCGCTCCGCCGGCCATAGCACCTCTTCCCCTTCCTTTGATCCTTCCCCCAATTGTTTCTGTCGTCAGATTTTTTAGAGTGTATAACCCACAACCTTATTGTTTTATAAATGAAGAAGCAGGCGCATGGAGTGACTTGTCCCAGGTCACACAGGTAGTAAGCTACAAAGCCGAGATAAAGACCCACTGCCTACAAATCGACCCCTCCCCCTACAAATCCACCCCTCCCCCTCCGAATCCCCCTGCCGTTGCATGTTTCAGCAGCTGCGGCAATGCGCCAGCCTGCGGTGGGCACCATTTCCCTTTCGGGAGGGGAAAGCAGGGTTTGGGGACACAATGGCGCTGTGGTCCTGCCCTTTTCCTGCCTCCTCTCCCCTTCCCCCTAACCTGCTTTTGCTTGCAGGGCCCCCTTGGGGCGATGCACTTGGAGCCTCCCTACGCTTTGGTCCCTCCGCCCGAGCACTTAAGTCCTAACTCAACCTGCAGCCCAGCCAGGAGGCCTGCACTCCACCCTTTCCTCCCACGCCTTCCGTGGGCTTGCATTCTTCACCCCGCCCCCTCCCCCAGAGCAGATAAACCTGAGCCCAGCAGTTTCTCCAAGCCTGCAGGCTGGTCATTTCTATGCGAATCAAGAGCACAGAATTGTCGACAACGAAAAGCAAGAACCGGGGCTCCATTTAACATTCCCACACATACATGTTCCCCTCCTGTGCCCAGGCGCACGGAACAGCCTAGGCGCATTGAGAAGCTCAACTGATTTGGCTGGAGGGGATATGAGGATTGCTTGCCCTGGGGTCCGAGATCGGTAGTATAAGATCCCCATCTTTCCCCCCAGCAACTGACAGTAGACTTGGGCCGGTCGGCTGGAGGTCCAGGCCAGAAAAAAAAAAAAAAAGCAACAACTAAGCCTGGAGCTTTTCAGAGATCTTCAGCAGCCCCAGCCTCCGAAGGGAAGTGCCTGCCTCTTCCCCAGCCCAAGGCTCCAAAGGACTCTGTGGATGATGGAGCAAGGGGCTGGGTGCGAAAATAACATTCTCCCGCCGCCCCGGCAGGACAGGGTATCACGCTTTCTTCACTGTTTTCAAGTGGGGACTCATAAGACATCAAGAGGTGCTGGGGATGACATTTCACGTGAGGAGGGGGCGGCCCGGGGATAGGAAGACACGCCCACACATGCCTACTCCTGCAGCCTAATTATAATTGACATTTCTATGTCGCTTTAAGGATTTCTAAGTGCTTTTCTCATTGCCGTCGAAAGGCCTCCTGGTGTAGAAATAAAAAAGAGAACTGAGTTCAGAGACAGAAGACTGGTTTTGTATCCATAGTCAATCACGTGTCAAATCTTGTGGTTTCTATCTCGGCAACATCCTCCTCATAGATCCGATCCTTTCTACTTACACAGCCAAGTAAAGATCTCCTAATTGGTCACCCTACCTGGAGTCTCTTCCTCACTCCAATTCATCCTCCATAGCTGACAAGATTTTCTTTAAGCACAGATCTGACTAGGTTACTTCTCTACTCGATAGACTTAATGCCTTTTGCCTCTAGGATAAAATATGAACCCTATTTCTCTTTTAAAGCCCTTCATAGCCTAGCCCCAGCTTCTCTCTCTGTTTATATTTTTACTAGCACCACCACCACCCCCTGAACTCTTCAATGGCCTTCTCTTTTTTCCTCATGCTGGACACTCCACCAAAGAGTTCCCATATCCTTGCCTTTCCACTGACCATCCCTCAGGACAGGGATGCACTCTCTTCTCCTGTCTCATAGAAGCCTTCTCTTCCCTTCAACACCAACCTATATGTAGTCTTTCTTGACCACCCTCACCCCTACTACTCCCCTCCCTCCCAAAATAGCTTGTAATACTTTGTATTTATCCTCTATATGCTCCCCACCTTTAGACTGCAAAACAATCTCCTTGAGATCGTTTTAATCTTTGTATCAGTATCCCAGAGCAGTACCTACCACATAGTGGGTGCTTAATAAATTCTTGTTGATTGATTAACTGTTGTGACTGGTAAAAATCAAATCCCATGTGTTACACTAGAAGGACCAGAATTAAAGAATACCTCAAAGGCCCACACTGCATAATTGACCCAGTGCAATTATTTTATCCATAAGACAAAGAAAATAGAGATAGAAAAAAAATCTATTTCATAGAAAAACTTCAATAAAAAACTTTATGTCAATCAATAAATATGATCCTTCTAGTGTTAATGTGAGGTCTTTGAGCCTTCCAGTGAACAAGCACAACCAGGGAGTGGACATTTCAAGCCTTTCCTGAGGTGCAAATGCCTTATCTTACTTTGTTTTTCACCATTCTGATTGCCCTCATCTGGATACTCTTCAGCTTGTTCTTTAAATGTGAACAGCATGGTGTAGATGGATAAAATACTGACCTTGGAATCAAAAGTTTGGTCATGCTTCTTAGTTTCATGATCATAGGTAAGTCAGTTACCCCAGTTTCTTTATGTGTAAAATGAGGGTCTTGGACTAGATGTTTTCCAAATTCTCTTCCAGCTGTAGTCTGGAAGTCTGATCTCCCACAACATCAGAAACTGCCTATTGGGTATTTCCAACTGGATATTACCTAGGCATCACAAATCCAAATGTCCAAACAGATTTCTCTGTCTCCCCCCCCAAAAAAAAGAAGCTATCCCTCTTCCTAACTTCCCTATTTCTGGCAAGGACAAGACTATCCTTCCTGTTACCTAAGATGGAAATATTGGAGTTACCCCAACTCCTTACTCTCCCTCACCCTTCCCTTCATATCCCAGAAGTTGTCATTCTACCTCCACAACAACTCTCTGGATCCAGCCTTCTCTCCACTTGGATTAATGAAAAATCATTAAGCAACTACTATGTGCCAAGCACTGTGCTAAGTGCTCGGGATACAAATTCAAAAGCAAAGATAGTTCCTGTCCTCAAAAACCTTACATACTAGTGGGGGAAAAAAGACACAAATAGGGAGATTATAACCATGGACACATTGGTCCAGAAAGTTACTATGATATGGAGTGGGGCCTTGGGACGGTAGTGGATTGACACAACCCTGGCAGAGTTGTTTTAATCTAGTATTCCACTTCCCTAATTAGAAACTCTGACATTTTCTTATCTGACCATGACCTATCATTCCACCTCTCCCTATGCTTCACCCCTCCTACACATGCTCTTCTCCATCAAGACCTTCATTTCCTCCTGAGTACTGCCTCAGTACTTCTCAGCCATTGCCACTGTTCTAGCTTCACTTTCCTTCCTCTCCAACCTCAGCCCAATAGTTAGCCATTTCGACTTCACTCTATCCTCTGCTCTTGAATCCTCTTGACCCCTTGTCCTATCACTACTGTTCTCTTTCCAAACCTTAGCCCTGGATTACTCCCACCAGAAGGAAATCCCACAACTGTGCTTACTGGGTACACTAAATATTCATGATATCCAAAGTCAACTGGACCCTCACTGCATCAAGACAGTCCTTTTATTCCTAACTGATTCCATGTCTCACTCCCCACAGAAGCTATTCCAAATCTTTTCTCTCTTCAAACCCCTCACATGCCCTCCTCCTCCCTGTTTCTCAGCTAAAGATCTTTCCTCTTTAGACAGTTGACTAGCATTTATTAAGTGACTACTGTATGCCAGACATAATGCCAAGCACTGGAAATATAAAGAAAAGCAAAAAATAGCCCCTGCTCTCAAGGATCTCACTGTCTAACAAGGGAGACAGTATGCAAGCAACTATGTACAAACAAGATTCAGACAGGATGAACTGGAGATGGTCTCAGAAGGAAAGCACTAAGATTAAGGATTGTGAAAGGTGTCTTGTAGAAGGTGGGACTTTAACTGAGACTTGAAGGAGGCCAAGGTACCTTAGCATTGGAGACAGTGAAGGAGAGCATTCCAGATGTGGAAGACAACTAGTGAAAATATTCAGAAAAATTGAGATCATTTGACATGAACTCCCTCTTTTCCCATTCTCTTCATCTCCAAATCCCTTAATATCATCTCCCACTCTCTTCTCCTTTCCCCAGTCTCTGATAGAGTGACCTTCCTCTTTACCAAGGCCAAGCCCTCCACATGTGCACCAGATCCCACTTCCTCCTGTCTTCTCCAGCAGATCACATTCTCGATCATCCACTCTCTCTTGAATCTTCCATCTTTGTCTTTCCCTATCAACTGGTTCCTTCTCTCCTGACTTCCAACATTCCCAAGTCTCCTACATCCTCAAAAAAAAAAATTTAGACCCTACCATCCCCTAAGCCACCATCCTTTATCTCACCTTTCTTATATAAATTCCTTGTAAAGGTTATCTATACTGGTGACCTCCACTTCTTTCACTCATTCCTCAACCCTTCCTATTCTGACTCTCCACTTCCCTCATTTGAAATT